TCCTGCAGGCTCACATGCCACACTGTCTGCCCCAGACACGTGCTCGATACTTGGCCTCGGCACCCTGACAGCATCACAGCAGGCTCCTGGGCGCTAGGACTCGAGGACACCAACGTACCTCGAGCCACTGGGAGTGGGTGACAATTAAGACAGAAAACAAGAGAGCAAGGAGTAGGAGTGGAAAACTAAGGATGAAGACCTCCTGCACAAGGGGGAGCTACTCAGAGGTCTGCGTGGAGTGAGTTCCCTGGTGGCTTCCTGGCAGGCTGGCAGGACCGGCCCAGCTGTGTGAGCCGAGACAACCTTGCAGCGAGGTCACTCTGCACATCCGCTGTCTCCGCTGGGGGAAGTGCTTCCTGACAGCTGCTCTGAAGTGATTCTCCTTCAATTTCCATTTTATAGCTGCCTCTTCCCTCCTCCGTACAAGGCTGTGTCTCTGAGGAAGTCAGGCTGACATTGCCGGCTGTGATTATGGTACCTTTCACCTGCCTCAGACTTCCCGGTTACCTGCCACCTTTGACGTGAAGTTTTTCTGCATTTGTTCTATGGTCTAAATATTCACCAAACACCTCATGTGTGCTGGCACAGAGCTGGGTGGTATGGTGGATGGGGATGGATGACAAGGAAATATGGGATGTCATTTCCCCCAGCCAACTTACAGGCGACCCTGCATAACCAGCTGACAATTGTTCGTAGAGTAGGAGCATGAAATCGAGGCTTGAGTGCGTTATTTAAAATCCCAAAGGCACCCACAACAGAAGTACATATTGCCACATATCTGTCTAAAATTGGTGGGGAGTAAGTGAGATAAACCCTCATCAATCATAGTAGGAAGCCGATAGATGATATCTATTGTTAATAAATCAAGGAGCAGAGGTAATAAATCTTTAACAGAAACCACCAGAGTGTGATGATTAAGAGTACCCAGGGGTCTGCAGTCGGGTATCCTGAGCTGAAATCTTGTTTCTGTTGCTCATCAGCTGTGTGAGCATGGACTGCCCACTTAACAAGTCTATGCCTCAGTTGTCCCATCTGTAAAATGAACAGGGTAATGGGGGGTCTTGGTGAGGTCAAGGAAGCAATGTCATAAAGGCTTTGGTACAGGGATTGGCATGTGACAAGTGTACTCAATAAACATTAGCCACGGCTAAAAGCAAAACAGTTAGTGGTCTCTGGAGACTAGAAAATGGGGGGGGGCATGCTTTTTAGGATAAGATGTCTGAATTATTTAATTTTGTAACCATACGGGTATGTCATATTACTAAAAATACAATATTTTATATATATATATATATATATACACAAACCGAGTGATTAGAAAACTAGACACTGAATGAACTCTTCTGTCTAGCTCCTCCCTTTCTCCCTCTTCTCTGTGCCACCGTCTTCCTGTTTTCCACTCCTACTCCTTGCTCCCTTGTTTTCTGTCTCAACTGTCACCCACTCCCAGTGGCTCGAGGTACGTTGGTGTCCTCGAGTCCTAGTACCCAGGAGCCTGCTGTGATGCTATCAGGATGCCTAGGCCAAGTATCGAGCACATGTCTGGGGTAGACAGTGTGGCATCTAAGCCTGCAGACTGTGGCATCTGCCCCTGGGTGAGGGACCCCAGGGGTTGCTGGAAAGCCCACACCCGCTTCAGGGCCTCCACACCTCTACAGAGGAAGACTGCTCACTGCCTGAGGGTCCTGAGGTTCAGGGCACGAGAATTTCTTCTGGACTCTGCCGCTTCCAGGCTGTGTGATTACAAGAAGTCACTTTCTTTTCCCGAGTCTTAATTTTCTCCTCAGTAAAGGTAGGAAGTTGGGTGCTCTAAAAGATTTGAACTTTAGCGCCTGCTTCTTCTTCTTCAATTATTACCAATCTATGAAGCTGGAGCTATTGCCTTCTGCTCAGAAATAGTGTACAACCCAGTGGTGTAGACACCTCCACATCAGATGAGAGAGATGTGCCCTCAGTCTAGTATTGCCTCCAGATCTGATGGCTTCACCTACCCAGCATACATCCACCGTTCTTCTGGACACAGGACTCTGATTTTCCTTCGGGGCTCATTCTTCCCCGCTCTCAGGCCTTCCGAATCAGACAGAAGTAACCTGTCACTCTACGTGTGAACCGGTAAGCCAGACCTAGCCAGTGAGACAGGGTGAGATTTGTGTGAGGCTGTTGGGAAGCAGAAGCCAGTCTTTCTCTGGCATTGCTACCGTACCTATCAGGATGATGTAAATCTGGAGCAGCTGGAAAATACTTTGTGATCAGGAGGGAGTAGGCTGCCTGAGGGCAGGAACAGAAGGAAGAAGCAGAGTTTAGAGAGCTTCTCTGGCTTGGTGACAGCCTTTGAGTACCTGTAGTACACCGTACCTGAAGGCAGACCTACCTTGAACTTCTCAATTAATTAACATAGTAAATTTCCTCCACGTTTTTCTTTTTTGTTTCTTATTGCCCTAATCTTTTTCAAGCTGGTTTGCTGCCCTTTTTTGAGAAATAACCTTGTCCTTCAATATTGCTTATCTTCAAGACATTCTTTCCCATGTCCCTTCTTTTTCTTTGCAAACTCTTTCAAGAATCACCCAAACATCATCTCCCTTGTGATCTCACCCACGTGACCCTCAGCAGAATTAGAAGTTCCTTCCTCAGGCTCTCGTGCAGCCTGCACGTTCCACCAACAAAACAATTAGAACACTGTGTTAAGTTTTGTGTCCTCAGATCCCTAGCTGTTCAAATACTTGTTCATCTTTGAAACCCTGGTGCCTCGATCTGGGCTAGCACACAGTTGTGTCTGATGAATGAGGGAAACGAATGAGCATATTCATTCTGTTGTGACACTAGCCTGCTTTTTTGGTTGCTCGGAAGGAATAGAAACCAATTTGTCACTCTGCTTTATGTGGATTAGTCACAGTTTAAACAACGAGGAGGTGGTGTAATGTATATAGTGAGCTAAGTAAATGCGGAAAAACAATTCTAATTTTAATGTTGAATTGTCAGTGCTTCTGCATACTTAGCCTTTCTTGCTACCAGTCCCCTTTGTACTTATTCTAGAAGCCATATGGTAGAGTGGACTGGGAGGAGACTGGGTTCTACTCCCACCTGGCTTCCTCTATGAACTTTGGAGCCTCCTCATCTTCATAATAGAGGAGTTGGACCACATCAGCTGAAACTCCTAAAATCCATAGGACTGTAATGACCACTCACCTCAGCTACCAGTGACCACTCAGCCCCAGCCTGTAATGCCCATGCAGGAAAATAGGCCCAGAATTGCCCAGATCTTGCAATGTTTAAAGAAAGATGGCAATGTAGATTTTTTCCATGAAAAGAATGTCTTAAAAAATATTTTGCGGGCCTGGACTAGAAAGAATGAAGTAGCCTCGTATATTGCTGGTAGGTGTGCAAAAGAATTTCATTCCTATGGTCAAAAATTTGGCAAAAGGTTTCAACTAAAGATGTGTTTATCCTTTGATCCAGCAATTTGGACTTCTAGGAATCTCCACTGAAGATCCACAACACACTATAGAACAGGATGTGCACAAGGGTATTCATTATGGTGTCAATAGCCCCAAGACTGATAATAACTCCCAAGTGTCCATTCATACAGGATTCATTTACGTCATGGAATATTTTGCATCTGGAAAAAAATAGGACAAATTTTCTGTTTTTAAATGGAATGATCTCCAGGATTATTCACATAGTTACTTTCTTTGTCACTGAGATAATACCTGATACCCACAATGTAAGGGAGGAGAGGTATAGTTTGGTTCATAGATTTTAGAGGATTCAGTCCATGGTTGGCTGGCTCTGAGGCAGGAGGGCACGGGGAAGGAGTGCTGCTGATGTCATGGAAGGCAGGAAACAGAGTGAAAGGAGGAGGTGAGGAGGGAGATATACCCTTCCAGGTCATTTGCCCAGTGACCCACCTCTAATTAGGACCCATCTCCTGAGAGCACATACAGCTGCTGAACTCGTTAGCGGATGAATCCACTGGTAAACACAGCAGCCCTATGATCCAATCACTATTCAAAACCCTGCCTCTCAGCACATGAGTTTTGAGGGACAGTCTAGATCTAAACTATAACACATAATGAGAGCAAAAGTACATAGAAAAATGCTCTTCAAACTTGAATTCCCCAGCTGAAGATAGCATTTTCAAAACCTCCAGTGCTGGCTATCACTGGTGAGCTCTGTAGCTGAGGACATGGGACATCCTTCCTCTCTGTTTCATTGTGTGTGTGTGTGTGTGTGTGTGTGTGTGTGTGTGTGTGTGTACATGCATATTCAGTACGTGGCAGAAACCTGCTACAGGAACAAGCAGTGCTACTTAGAGCATCACTGACAAAGCCAGCATCTCACTAGAACAGTCTAGGGGAGTCGTAATAGTAGAATTTTACTGATTGTTGAATTTGACTCCAACAGCATTGGGTTCTAATAATAGATCTGCCCATAACAGCTGTGAGGATCTCGCTCCACCTCCTAAAACAATTGTTATTCATGTGTTCACTTTTACAATGCCCTTTCCATCACTAGACTGGGAGCCCTGGGAGACTGTGATCCATCTGTTTGCCCACCACTGAATCCCTAGCATCTGCTATAGTGCCTGGTGTGTGGTAGACTGGTGCTCGGTAGATTCTTAATGAGTTATCTCTTGAATCAATGACTAATTGAGTCAGCGAGGTGATACACAAAAAGAACTTATTGTAGTGGCTGGCATAGTTAAGTTTTTTTTTCTGAAAACTGGAAATAATACTAGATGCTAACTCACAGGCTTTTGGTGAGGATTCAAAGGGGTGAGATCTGCATGCTGCTGCGTTTTTCCCTTCCCATTTGTGAGAAAGTCAGAGCGGCTCAGCTTATCCTTTGGAACCAAGACAGGTAAGTCACAGGTCAAGGTCCAGCCCATAGATGAGAGTGGAGGTGGTCCCTAAGGTGGAGAATTTAGCCATTTGATGTACCAGGCTTCTGTTCAGGGTTTCTTGCAGGCATTTGAAATACATTCCATGAAGTAGGCATAGAGGGCAAGGAATAAGTTTAAAATTTATTAGGCAGTAAAAGCAGCATTATTAGGTAATTGTTTGAATGCAGGAGGTCGGTCAAAGTAGAAGCACAGATGACATCAGGGGTTGGCTTGGGTGACTGGATGGTCTCTCAGCTCACTTTCCTCTGCATTGGAGATGTTCTCAGGAAGCTTCACCTTGACTGAGTTAGGGTCTTGGCAGGAAATAGATGGCACTCACCTGGGGGTAGGGACAGCCTGTGCTGCCTGGCCCTAGGTCTATACAGGGAGGGCAGGGACAGTTACCAGAACCCAAAGAGGGAGGGTTGTTTCCACAAAGGCTGCACGGCAGGGGCTGTGGCCTTCAGTGGCAAAGTCCCAGTAAGGGAGCTGGGGAAATAGGCCTTGAACTGGGTCTTCTCCTTCCACCTGAAATCCTGTCCCGGCTCCCCAAGGGCTCAGCCCAACAGGAAAGTAGAGATTAAAAGGCGCATAGGCCAAGTGTCACTTACCCAAAGGAAGGAGATTAGCAGCAAAGGCAAGATGTCCAGTGCACTCCTCAGAGTGGGGCTTATATCGAAGGCAGAGGGTCCACCATTTCCTGAGTAGACTCTCCTTCTAAACCACAGAAACCACCCCATGTTTCAGACTGGCCTTCTGGAGAGCAAGAGCCCATCCCTTGGCCAGTCACTGTAGCCAAATGGGATAGAGTGCTCTGATTGGCTGAGCCAGCAGTTAAGGGAGGAGTCAGTCCTAACGCAACTTCCTGGCTGAGATGGAGAAGTACAAATCCCCAGGCAAAACACCCCAAGGGTGTTTTAAAACACAATAATGGGGCTTTGGGGATGGAGTTTGAGGTTCCTGCGGGATGGATTGAGGAGGAAGAGACCAGAATGCATGGGTGAATGTGGGAGCCGTAGTCGGGAACCGAGCTGACGCCACTCCAGGCCTGTTTCCCAACAGGGCAGAATCTCAGCATTCTGTAGTTCCAGCATTTGCCCGCAACATGTTACCCAACAGGTTTCAGTCTTCTCATCAGGAGTGTAGACCCTCCTTGTCAGCAGACCCCAAGCCTTGCTTTATGGAGTCATTCCTAGCAGTTAGAGACCTACACAAGGACTCTCTGGACCCACTCAAGTCTGCTGGAAGGTGCCACCTAGTGGAACACCAGCTGACCTACTAAATAGATGAAAAACCTTCGCAGGGTTTTTAGAACCTGGGAAGCCACTGAGCAGTGATTTTCAAACTTGGCAACACAGAGTCCCTGAAAGAAAGCTGAGTCTACCTCCAGGGATTCTGACTCATCAGTCTGGGACATGGCTGAGCATCCAGAATTTTTAAAAGTTCCCAGACGACTCTAACGAACTATCAAGGTTGGGAACACTAGGTTAGGGTAGCCAACTTCCATATTTTACCAGGTGCTCCCGGAAGGGAGACAGTGCCCTTTGTCCCACATCTCACCACCTGCATTTTGTACAAAAATGAAGATGTTCTGGTGCAGATCTAACCCCGCCCCCACTCTTGTGTTCAGAGGACCTGCTTTGGAAGGTAACTGTATCATAATTTGATATTAACGGGAGGTTATAGCAACACAAGATGGGCCCTAGTTGAAGGGAGTGGGTCACAGGTGTGGGACCTCAGGGACTGTATCTGCTCCCTGGTCACTTCCTCTCTGGCTCTCTCACCTTCTTGCTGTTTTTCTGGCTGCCAAGAACGAGAAGCTTCCCCCTTGTCACACGCTTTCTCCGTGATGTCTCTGTCCTACCACGGGCCTAAAGCAATGGAACCAGCTGATGCCCAATTGAAACCTCTGAAACCATAGGCCAAAATAACCCTCCGTCCTTTGTCATTATTCTTGGTATTTGTTTACCGAGATGAAAAGCTAGCCAACACAGACGAGGAATAAAACAGGAAACAGGCTCATTTCCCAAGCTCTGATAGTTTCATGGCAGTGCCAGGAGGAAGGCTCCCTACCCACCTAACATCTGCATCTGACCTACCAGCTGATGCTTTGTTTGAGATGTATTCACCCAATGACATGATATATTTATACTTTGTTTGAGATTTGAACCCTTCTCTGCTCTTTCTAAAGTTATCCTACTTGAGGCATCTTCCACATTCACTGTCTTGATTCAAAAGAATTCCTTTACAGTTGGCAGAATTGGTTGGCTTAATTGGCATCTCCAAAAGGGAGAGAGGCAATTCCCTATCTAGAGGTCACTTCAAACAGACATCCTGGAAACCCTTTGTTATTACTCAAACTAGGAGCTGAAATGCAGACAGCAGATTGAACCTCTCAGTGAGGCATTCCACAACAGGCTATCTCTCCCCATCCTCCCTTGCAGAATTGTAGAATTGAAGAAGACTTTGAAGAGCATCTGATAGGAGTGCTTTATTTAATAAAACCATGTTTAGTCCATCTCTACTTCCTGCTACCACATACATTCATGGACCTATGCATACTGAACCTGGCTCAGACAATCTGAGTGACTTCTGAGGTCAGACAAGAACTTAGGGGCAAAATCTGGACTAATTAAGGCTGACCAGATGCAGGTACAAAAGTTTCAGATACGTAATGTTCCTTTCTCTATATCACTCACTGCTCATGGGAGTGCAAAATGGGACATGGTACACTCATACTTAATACTTTGTAAGATAATTTGGCAGTTTCTCAAAAAAATCTAAACATATTCTTACCATGTGATTAACTAATTGAGCTCCTTGGTGTTTCTCTTAATGAACTGGAAACTTATGGCCATATAAAAACTTGCATGGAAGTTTATAGTAACTTTATTCATAACCGCCTAAACTTGGAAATAACCAAGGTATCCTTTAGTAGGTGAATGGATAACTGGGGTACATCCAGACAACAAAATATTGTTCAGCAGTAAAAAGAAAGAAGCTATAAAACCATAAAAAGATATAGAAGGGATGGGGTGGTACAGTTCAGTGGTAGGGCCTTTACCAAGGTGCATGAGACCTTGACTTGGATCCCCAACAGCACACACACACACCCATGCACACATGCATTGTACACGAACACATGCACACAAACATTCAAGAACCTTAAATACATACTGCTAAGTGAGAGAAGCCAATCGGAAGAGGCTTCATACTATATTATGTTCTGTAAAGGGCAAACTATGGAGATAGTAAAAAGATCAGCTGGAGGGAGGGAAGGATAAACAGGTAGAGCACAGGAGATTTTCAGGGCAGCCAAACTACTCTGTATAATTCTGTAATAGTGGGTTCATCATTGTACATTTTGCCTTGTAAAATGCTGTAAGCTACATGACTTACATCAAGAGTCCAACCTAATGTAAATAATGGACTTCGCATGATACTGACGTGTCAGTGTAGGTTCATTAGTTTTCACAAATGAATCACTCCGCTAAGGGCTGCTGACTGTGGGGCAGGCTGTGCATGTGCAGGGCAGGGGACACCTCAGTACCTTCTACTCAGTCTGGCTGTGAATCTAAAATTGCTTTAAAATATGAAGTCTTGGGCTGGGGATATAGCTCAGCAGCATAAGCGCCTGCCTGGCAAGTGCAAGGTCCTGAGTTCAACTCCCGGTACCAAAACTAAAAAATAAAAATAAAACATAAAAAATAGTCTGTGCAAAACAAGCAGAAAGTACCAAGAACTAAAGGTAGTTTATGTCCTCGTGTGACTTACAACCCAGTGGGAGAGAACAATCTCAAGCAATACCGTAGCAACTGTAAATACAGTACGGTGACTATAAAGAAAGGCATTGCTAAGAGGTCATTAAATGGGGGCGCTTGGTCTGGTTAGGGAGATTAGGCTTCTCCGAGAAAGTGTCAGTTGAGCTTGGTCATCCCCAAGGACAGGGGAAGTAGGAAGAATTAGGCTAGCGGGAGACACAGAAATCTAACACATACAGCTTTTTGGGTTTTGATTTTGCTTACGGCCTCTTTCTCTCCAGCTTGGAAACTACAGCAATGGAATCATCTTCATTTTGCAGATGAGAAAATGGAGGCTCAGAGCAGCTAAAGGATTTGGCCAAGGTTAAAAAAAAACATTAAAATAGAGTGACATCCAAAGCTCCTAATTTGCTGATCCACTTTCTCTTCACATTGCTCAGCTCGGGGCTTGGCCAGACCCGCCTAAGGGTACAGTTCTTGACTGACAGGTCAGCCATAAGGGCTCCTAAGAAAACCAAGGTGAGGACTTCCAACAGGAAAGGTTTTCTATCCTCATCGGGAAGGCTGAAGCCTGCTCCTGTCACCTCTCCTCTGGCTGACCCTTCCTGTTGTCAATGACAAGATGGAAAACTGAATAGTGAGGCAGAGAATAATCAGCTTGAGAAAAAAAACAAACAAACAGGAAAATACAGGGAAGAGGAGAGGAGAGGAGATACTCACCATTCACCAATACGTGTTTTCATCCCTTTGCACGTGTCAGGCACAAATGTTCCGCAGTGTAGGTCTAGGCAGGGAATGAGCAGACAAGATAGCTGCCCAGTGCAGCTGAGAGTCTATTTGGAGAAACCCAATAATAAACAAGTAAATCAGCACATAGATTAGACTATCGCAAAGAAAAAGGACATGCACAATGAAGAAAACGTAGCAAGATAGAAGGTAGGGAGCGAATGCTTTTAAAAGGGACTCTGTGAAAAAAGACACTTAAGCAGGGACCTGAAGGATGAGCAGGAGCCGGAAACAGGAGGAAGACCTGGGAGACAGCGGGCAGCAGCGACAGCCAGTGGAAAGGTCTCAGGGCTGGGATGAGTAGAGGGCACTCGAGCACCAGGAAGAAGGAGTCTGGGGCTGGTGTGGAGTGAATGAGGACAGCGATGGGTTAGATCCGAGAGGTGCAGGTCTGAGCAAAGGGGCTGCCCTGCAGCTGATATCCTGTTCACCCATCTTCGGTGTTCCTTTTGGTGTTGAGCTCTTATTTCACCTCTGGTTACTAATGCCTCCATTGGACCACGGACTGCAGGAGGCCCTTTAACCACAGTATCTCATTTAATCCCCTAAGAGGCCTAGCAGGAGGACACAGTCCGAAAGTGACACTGCTTGTTCAATTTCAGTGATCAGCTCAGCTTTTTCAGGAAAGGGCATAGGATAAACCCCAGGAGCCCTCTCCCTGCCTGGTGCAGCCCACGTTGTAGAAGGTGATCAGAGAGCCCTAGATTTAAAGGTGGGTTCTCCGGCTAGAGTCCCCATTGAGGGCAGACCAGCTGGTGTGCAGCTTTGATCCACAAGTGACTACGGTAAGACATGAGAAAAAGCTCAAATCCAATTTCCTGCAGACTCTTCCTGAGAGCTTCAAGAGAGGGTGGGAAGGAAAGAGACATTGAATAGTTCCTCTCCCGCCACGACCTTAATTGCTACACTTGACACAAACGGTAATTACTGAGCACCTACTGTATGCCGCACCTGGGAGGATGTACAGTTTAGTTCCATATGGCTAAAAAGAGTATGAAATCCTGTGGTTTGGCTCTGCTTTGGCTCAGGGAAAGGTAGACCTCATTTGCAAATTCCTCCGCCTGGAAAGAATGCCAGTTTCTGATTAACAAAAAAAAGAAGTATGTGCTGACAGAGGAAGGGGGTACGAAGAAACACCAAGCGCCTGCTTGCTTGGAACTTACATTGCAGAGGGAGACCAAAGGAAAATGAAGCAAGTAGAAGTGATCGGGTGCTTGTGGTCAGGTGGTCAGGATAGTTCTCTCGGAGACAGGACCTCTGATGTGGTTCCTGAGAGAATGGAGAGAATCAGGCAAAGGTTTGAAATTCTGTATCAAGCACATCAAATTTACAAAGGCCCTGAGGTGGTCATCAGTGTGGTGTATTTGAGGAATATAGCAAGACCAATGTAACGGAAGGGAGAGAGAAAAGGCAAAAGCTAGAAGTCAGGTCTGATCATGCAGGCCCCGCAGGCTGTAGTAAGGACTTTCCTAGATTATTCTAATGTGCTGGGAAGGCATGGGTGAGTGAGATCAGGGCCATGAACCTTGGTTTATAAAAGGACAGTGGCTCCATTTACCAGCACCATGCTCAGGGCTGTGGAGGCACAGGAAAGAATTCTGCAGCATTATCTAATTACATAAATACTGTACATCTACTGCTGCCATATAAAAGTCGTGGGCTATTCATAGTAAAATTATCACAGCAGCCAAAAGATAGAAACAACCCAAATGTCCATGAATGGACGGATAAACAAAATGTGGTGTATACATTTAATGGAATATCATACAGTCTTAAAGGGGAATGGCATTCTGAAACAGGCTAAAACACGGATGAATCCCGAAAATATTATAAGTGAAATAAACCAGGTACAAAAGGGCAAACATACGATTCCACTTATATGAAGTACCTGGAATAAGTCAAATTCATTAAGCAAAGAATAACTGTGTTTGCCAGCCGTTGGGGGAGGGGAGGGAGGAGGGGTTTAGTGTTTAGTCGATGTGGATTTCAGTTTGGGATGAGGAGAAAGTTGTGGAGATGGATGGTAGTGGTGTTTGCATAAGGATGTGAATGTACTTAATGCTAGGGAACCATACACTTTAAAATGGTTAAGATGGGGGCTGGGGATATAGCTCACTGGCACAGCACTTATCTTGCAAGCATGAGGTCATGAGTTCAATTCCTGGTACTACCAAAAAAAAAAAAAGTCCAAAAATGGTTAAGATGTTAAGTTTTATGTATATTCTAGCACAATAAAATATTTTTTTTTTAAAGAGGCAAGGCTAGAATCTAAAAATAGAAGAATGGGAATTCTAGGCAGGGGTAACAAGTGCCAAGTTCCTGACTCAGGAACGTGCCTGGAGTTCTGAGAGACAGTGCAGGGGTTAATGTGGCTGGAACACAATGCGCAGAGTAAGGGCTGAGGGCTGATCTGATGTGTCAGTGCAGAATCCTGCGGCTCCCCCTCGGGAACCCAGTGGCAGGTCAGAAGCCACTGGAGGGAGCTGAGTAAGCACCCTGACTTGAGGATTAGGTAAATTTTGGACAGAAATCCAAAGCAAGCAAGCAACCCCTGAGGAGGAATCTTAGCGGATCTCGTGGAGGAGGTGGCAATACAACAAGACATGGAGGGTGAAAAAGACTTCCAGATTTAGATGAAGGGACGGTTTGTTGCGGGGAAGGATCGGCGCGGCCAACATAAAGGAAAACAGGGTGTCGCCCCAGGCGGACATAAGGCAGGGTAGGGTGGCGAGGGGCACGGGTCTGGTCAGCCTAGACTGGACCTGGAGCTCAGCCTGAAGGCTTGCAACAGATGTCAGTCCCCGAAAACGGAACTCTCACTGCTCAGCCTGGAGCTGGAGGACCTGGGAGCAGGAGTCCTCAGCTCGCCGCCTTGGGGCTGGGGGCGACTACCCACGGAGGTCTGCGCCTGGGCCGGAGAATCAGGAGGGCGCTTGTGGGGGTGGCAGAGAGGAAGGCAGCAAAGAGGATCCTTCGGGTTCCCGTGCAACAGGGAGGAAGCAGACAAGTGGGGAGCACTGAGCGCTCCAGGGGAAGCCATCGCCTTCCCCGTGGGAGTGGCCCACACCCCGCCCGGGCACCCCGATTTTACAGGCATTACCTTGTCTGGTGGATCACGTGTCTAACGTTTCAGCTCCCAGCTGTCAGGGCTGGGTCTGCCTGCACTTCCTCCCGGAGCCGTGCACCTCATCTTGTCTGGCTGAGCGGCTGCATGGGAGATAGAAAAACTCGAGAGGCAGTGGGAACGGCTCCGAGCGCTGCGTCCCAAGGCACACGTGGGACTGGAAGACATTCGGACCCAGGCAGGCTGGGCTCGCGCGACAGAGGGTCCCGCAGAGAGGTTCTGGTCACCTCCACGCGGGTTTGCAGGGACAGCAGACAGGTGGCATTCTACAATTTACAGAAGGCGTTCACACCTAACGTCCAAGGTCTCGGGGAGGAAGAAAACCGGGCACCGCGGGTAGAACAGCGCGCGGAGCACAGCTGTGGCCCCATTTTCCGGCTGAGAACGCAGGGGTAGTCAGAGCGGGTCTGAAGGTCCCGGGGCCGAGGCGAGTGCTCCGGGGCTGTAGGCTCTGAGGTTTCGGCCAGGCTCTCGCACTATTTGCGTATCCCCGGGGAGCTCGAAAACGCCTGGCAGCAGCCCTTATTGGAGGTGGCCCCGCCGGGCGCTCGGGTCCCGGGGCGCCCCGGCTCGCGCGCACTCGCTCGCTGCCCACCAGCGCGCAGCCCGCACCAGTTAGCACCCAACTCCCCAACTCCGGGACTTTCGCGAAGCTCCGGCGGGCGGGAGAGCCGCCGAGGAGCGGGACGCACCATCGCGGCCCGAGAGGGGGAGGCGGTGCGGTGCAGCACCCCGCGGGGGCCGGGCGCACGAGGACGCAAAGCGGGGAGACCCAGGCTAGCGGCACCCGGAGCCCGGCTGCGGTTTCCGGGGCGGGGCGGCTCTGGGCGCGCAGCGG